CGCTCGAGGGAGCGGCAGGCGAAGGGCTCGGGGCGGGACCGGCAGAGGAGGGACTCGCGGTCGGCCTCGAGGAACCGCAAGCCGCGCAGCCGCTCGCGGTCGGCCCAGCGGCCTCGCGACGTCCGCGCCAAGTCTCGCTCCGCGTCTCGCGACCGGCTCCGCAGGGGACGGGGGGGCCGCTCCGCGTCTCGCGAGCGGAACCGGCGCGAGCGGAACCGTTCGCGCTCCCCGTCGCCGCCGCCCCCGAGGAATCGGGGCCTGCGGGCGAGGTCTCGCACGCCGTCCACCGGGAGGCGGGCGAGGGGGGCGAGGGCGGCGACGCCGCTGCTGCCGCCTTCTCGCGACCGTGGCCGGAGGCAGACGTCGCGCGATCGAGGCCGGAGAGGGAAGTCCAGGTCGGTGTCGCGGGATCGAACGCGGAGGCAGAAGTCGAGGACTTTGTCGCGAGATCGCAACAGGAGAGCGAAATCGAGGTCGGTGTCGAGAGATCGCATCCGAAGGCAGAAGTCAAGATCATTATCTCGGGATCGCAACAGGAGAGTGAAATCGAGGTCTGCGTCGCGCGATCGCAACAGGAGGGCGAAATCCAAGACGCCGTCTCGCGACTTCAATCGTAAACACAGGTCGAGATCTGTATCTCGCGATCGCAGCAAGAGGGTTAAATCCAGGTCTGTATCTCGCGATCGCAACAAGAGGGTTAAGTCCAGGTCGCCATCTCGCGATCGCAACCGTAGGCACAGGTCGAGATCGGCGTCGCGCGACCGCACAAAGAGAGCGGTGAAATCGAGGTCGGCATCGCGCGATCGCGGTCGTAAACACAAGTCGAGATCGGCGTCGCGCGATCGCGCCAAGCGAGTGCTCAAGTCGAGATCGGCGTCGCGCGATCGCAAGCAGAAGGCGAGAAGCGGGTCTGCGTCGCCGGGCCGCGGGGGAGGTCCCGCTCCGCCTCGCCGGACGGTGGCAAGAAGGCATCCACGGAGGAGAGCGACGTCGCTGCAAGGGGCGCCGAGGCTCGCTCTCGTTCTCACTCGCCCGGCAAGGAGTGCCTCAAAGTGGAGGGATTGAAGATTGAACGCGCTGATGAGGGAGTGGTTGAAGTGGGGGGGAAGGTGGTAAAGGCGGAAGCGGAGGAAGCTGGTGTGGAACGGCCGAGTGGAGGGGAGGCTGTGGCGAATGATGTGGCGAATGATGTGGCGATAAAGGTGGAACCCGGTGACGGCTCGACAAATGATGGCGGAGGAAATGCGGGAAAAGCGGAGGATGTGAAGCTTCAGATTTCCGTCGGAAACGACGATGTGAAGAAGCCACTTGCTGGAGAAAAAGATGACACCTTGGACCCACACAAGGCAGCGGGAGTCGCGTCAAATGATGCCACCGTAAAAGAAGAAGATTCCTTTTCGAAAGATGAAGCACCTAAAGATACTTCGCCGATTAAAACCACAGAAGCCGTATCTGTCTGCAAAGAACCAAAAGATTCTTCCGATACCGAGGAGTCAAAATTGTCTGACCTCACCACGGCGTCGACGGACGATCGTCTTCCGGGAGAGGCCGCCGATACGAGCAAGGAAGCTGAGAAACGCAAGAGGGACTCCGGCTCTGGCAGCCGCTCGCCCAAGCGGCGTCAGGAGTCGCCGAGCCCGCGCGGCGCGGCCGTGCAGAGGAAGCGTTCGCGCTCGGACTCGAGGCACAGGACGCCGGCGGACTCCGCCCGTGCCGGCGATCGGAGCGACGCCACGAAGGGCCGCTCTCGTTCCCGCGACCGCAAGAGGAGGGAGTCGGCTGAAAAGAAGCGCAGGAGCCGCTCGCGCTCGCGGGATCGCAAGGATGCGGCAGCCGCTCGGCCGCGGGACGCGAGGCGGAGGTCGCGCTCCCGGGAGGCCAAGAGGAGGTCGGCGTCTCGAACGCGAGATGCCAAGAGGAGGTCGGCATCCCGATCCCGGGAGACCAAGCGCAAATCCCGCTCCCGATCCCGGGAAGCCAAGAGGGTATCGGTGTCCCGTTCTCGTGACGTGAAGAAGAAATCCCGATCCAGATCCCGGGAAACCAAGAGGAAATCTCGATCCCGATCGAGGGAGGTGAAGAAGCGGTCGGCGTCGCGGTCGCGCGACGCCAAGCGGAGGTCTGTGTCCCGGTCACGGGACGCCAAGCGGAGGTCTGTGTCCCGATCGCGGGACGCCAAGCGGAGGTCTGCGTCCCGGTCGCGCGACGCCAAGCGGAGGTCGCGATCGCGGTCCCGGGGTCTCCGCCGGAGGTCTCGCTCGCGCTCGAGGGGGGCGATCGCACGCCGGCGCCTGGGCCGCTCCCGCTCCCCCCGCGAAGGGACGCGACGCGCCGCGCGCTCGCGCTCCCGCGGGGCAAAGCGAGCGTCGCACGACGACGCCGCCGGGGGCAAAAGGCGGCGCTCGCGTGACAAGTCCGACAAAGAGGCGGGCGACGGCAAGGCAACGGAGGCGGCCGCCGCCACCGACGCCGGCGGTGCCGGTGCCGGCGCCGGCGGCGACGCCGAGAAGAAGGCGGCGGGAGAGGAGAAGGCGCAGGAGGGGCGCCGCAAGTCGCGGTCGAGGTCGCGAGGCCCGGCGCGGCGCGGGTTTCGGGTGAGCCCCTTCAGGATGCGACGGCGGAGGTCGCCGATGAGGAGGAGGGAGCCCAGCCTGTCGCCGCTGCGCCTCTCCGAGGAGGGTGAGTTGGGGTGGGGGGTGGTCATCCCTGGTGTTGTGCCATTTTGTTTCATCGTCCAAACGACGCGGGTTCGTGCGGCAGTTGTAAATCTGCGTCTTGCTTCCTTGAAACGGCGCTTGTCGGCCAGGAAGATGACATTATTACGCGGGACAACATCTCGTGTGACTTACAATGCTTCGTCACCACCGATTTATTGGACGTATGTATGTCCAACTTCTTTCGCACAGTACGTTAGCCAGCCGAGCCAATCTAAAACCAATGCTTGTTGGAAAGAGTTACAGGTTCCACGCACGCATACGCATCATGCTTTAGTCATACTACAAAGAACCGAATTGTTGTCTTGGGTTGTGGAACTTCCACCATTGGCTCTGCGCAGGGCTGTGAACAGGACATGAGAGCCCAATGCATCGATGCTCATGAGAGCAGGAAATCGCTGCCTTTATGACTCTTGACTGTTGTACAGTATCCCCACGTTATTCACGAACTCGCTGTCCGCGAATTTAGCGGTCCGCGAATCGCATCTGGAACTCTGCATGACTGCTGCATCGGGAGAGAGAGAACGAAAGTGATGAGAGAGAATGTGATGCGAGATGGTGATGACATATAATGTGATGAGATATTCATATTTTGACATTTATTTTTATAATTGTCATGCATTTGATAGTTTATATTTTAACGTAATGCATTCAAAATCTTTTTTGAGGTTTTCGAAGGCCAATACCATTTATCCCGCAACATTTGCTATTCACAAGCATCTCCGGAACATATCCCTTGCAAATAACGAGGGAATACTTTACAAGGTATTGCATTCCTGGGCGGGGGGCGGGCGGGCGGGCGGACGGGTGGTGACGCACGCAGCTGGTAACTCCCATCTCGCGCCAAGAAAGGGCCTGGGTAAAATGTTCTACTCGGGCAGCTTTCTGTATTGGTTTCCCTCCAGATATGCTGGATTCCTCCTCGCAGCTGAAGCATAAGCATACATTGTAAATGGTCTTCTTGGTTCTTTCGGTAAAGTCACGTAGAATTATTTTAGTATATTTTATTTTTATTATTTCATTATTTCCCTTCTACGTGACTTTACCGAAAGAACCAAGAAGATGAATCCCTGCAGTCACGAAAGCTTTAAATCGAAATTGTAACTGGTGTTGGTACAAACGTCACAATGCCGAAAAATTACCAGCAAATTACTAATTTGGGATCGCGCGTGGCAACTTTGGCTCGTTACTTCGCAAACTTGGCCGGACCGTCCTGTAAAAGAGTTGTGATTTTGTGGTGGTTTCCTGGGTAAACAAGTGTAATAATACCATAAAGTTAAAGTGGTCGTGTATTTGTGTGTGGGTGTCTGCAGACAAAGCTCAGCTGTTGGAGATTGCTCGGGCCAATTCGACGGTGGTGAACCCTAAGGTGAGGATGAGCAAAGCCACGTCGCCGCTATTGCCCCAGTGGTGCCGCAGCGGTGAGAGTTGCGGGTGGGAAAGTCGTCGGGGCCAGGAACGGTGGGAAAGAGGAGTGACGCTTGGAGGCGCGCTGGCCCTGGTGCCGTGTTACGTTTATGTGCGGGGGCAGTGGCGAGGGAAGCATGGCCTGGCCCGCAGTTGTGCACTTAGTTTGGCCGAATTCCCCCACCTCTTTTAAGACTTTAAAATATCGGCTTGACTTTCATGAGACAAACGGTACTCTCGTTTGAAAGAGCGAGCAGGGGGGAAATGCAGCCCCCCCTCCCTCTCCTATCGCTGTCTAGACCAGAGGACACTTGACGGGGTCTCGGAGGTAGCTCTGTGACTTTCGCTGCCGTGGGCCGTTCTCAAACAAGACGGGGGTCGCCCTTCGAGAGATCCGAATGAATTCTTAATCGCGTGCCGTGGGGGGAAATTAACTCAAATAAATCTCGTGAATCTGCCCGTCCTATCCCCCCCCCTCCCCCTTTCACGCTACAAGGTGAGCGTGGGCATCATGAACTCCATCGGACCGGCCGCGGCGCTCTTGCCGCTCATCATGAACCAGCCGCCGCCGCCTCCGCCGCCACCTCAGCAGCCGTACCAGCCGTCGCCCAATTCCCCTCCCACGCCGATCCCCTGGCGGCGCTCGCCATCCAGCTCGCCAACCAGCAGGCGCTGCCCACCGGCCACATGGGTGGAGGCGGAGGAGGAACAGGAATGGGCAACCCCTTCCCGTTCGCGGCCATGTTCGGTCACGGCGGCATGGGCGGCATGGGCGGGATGGGCAACATGGCCAGTATGGCCAACATTGCCAACATGGCCGGCATGGCCAGCATGGGCGGCATGTGCGGTATGGGCACTATGAGCAGTATGAGCAGTATGAGCAGTATGGGTGGTGGTGGCGGCGGCGGCGGTGGCGGCGGTGGCGGCGGCAACAACAACCAGCCGGACTTTGAGAAGCTTCGAGCAGTGGTGGCCGGAGTGAACAAGGACCACATGATGAACACGATACAAGAGTTGACGCAGGTGAGCGTGCGTGCTTGCCTGCACGACGTGCGAGCTGTCTGTGGGTGTCGTGGAGAGAGTGGTGTGTTGCGTGCGTGATGTGTCGCATGCGTGATGCATCACAATAGCCTGGTCTTGGTTGGCTGATGAAAGTTGCAAGTGAGATTTTCAGCAATGCTTGGAGCTGGGGGTTGGCATCAATCCTGCCTCATGATGGCGAGGGGAAATGGCCGAGGTTCATGACTGTGGCTTATGCAGCTTCAATGGCTGCATTGGGTACACGGTCCGGACCTCCCCAGAGACCCAGGCTGACAGAGGAGAGGAGCTGTTCCGGCTCGCTGCGAGAAAACGACAGGCCCACTCCCACCGTCGACAGCTCCCCACGTCGAAGAATGAGTTAGGGAGGACTGTGTAGTGCATGTTGGGCACGCAGATATTCAGAGGAAGCTCCCTGGTGGATGCTGTTTGCAGACAATATTGTGCTATGCGGTGAAAGCAGGGGGATAGTGGAAGATGATTTGAAGATATGGTTACAAAATATTGAAGGGAATGGGTTGAGGATCAGTTGGACAAAGACAGAGTACACGGTGGCAAATTGCAAAGTAAATAATGCAAAAGGAGGATTGTAAATTGGAAGTGACCAGTTAATGAAGAGGAATAAGCTCCTGGGTGCAACGGTGTGGTTCCGATGGATCACTGGAAGGAGAGTTGAGAATAAGAACAAGGGCTGGATGGCTCAAATGGCGAGAGAGGCCTGGTGCGGTGTGTTCTAAGAGGGTCCCAGTTTGGGTGAAGGGTGAGGCTGGTGCTGTTGTATGGGGCTGAGGGCTGGTGCACAAGAACGAGGGAGGACCAAGCTACGGCAGTCGCAGAGATGAGGATGTTGCGGTGGATGTTGGGTTGAACAAGGAAGGACAGGGGCGTGAGAAATGAAGTGGTAGAAATCGCAGAGAAGATGAGAGAGAAAAGGCTGTGCTGTGGTCATGTTGAGACAACAGGAAAAGGCTGTGGGTCAGAAGGTGCAAGTGATGCAAGTGGAAGGAAATAGATCAAGGGGAAGGCATCAAAAGTGGTGGGGCGATGTGGTGCGATGGGACACGGTGGCCCGAGGAGCGGAAAGAGAGATGGCGCAGGACAGGGCAGCGTGGATCAGGTTGGCAAAGACAGCGCAATCCCCGACATGAATGGAATAACCGCGTGGAAGAGGAAGTGTAGTGCATGTGCAGCATATGCTGCAGCTGGTGTAGTAAGCTGCACGATGTTTTTGCCATCGCAGCGTTGCCAGATGATCGCGGACAGTCTGGACGATGACAAGCCAGTAAACGTGCCCGTGACGTCGGACGATGAGGGTGACGAGGAAACGATCCCGCAGAGTACGGAGGGCATCCATCACCCTTTCAAGATCAAGGACAAGTCTGACGAGTACACGGTCACTCACGTACGTAGGAACGAGCGTTTCTTCGCACGCGCTTGCCGCTACGACCCACACAGTCTCCCACGCTCCAACCAACCCTTTCCTCTGTGGCACTTTTGTTGAGCAATATCTTTGTCCACGATATTGCTCAACAAAAAAATACGCTGCCAAGCTTAGCAGTGTTCATTAGGACGCTGTCTTTCCGACAGCCCTGTTCTTCGCCTGAGGACGGCTGCTTGCGTTGTGGCCGAAACGTCGTGAGAATTTTATCTTATGTATTATAATTTTATATTTTCCTTCTACGTGACTTTACCGAAAGAACCAAGAATATGGATCCATGCAGTCACGAAAGCTTTAAATCGCAAAAATTGCTCAACAACTTTGTGTTACATATTCCCGGTTGCGTCCAATAGTAGCAGGCGTTATTAATATCATAGCAGGCGTTATTAATATCATAGCAGGCGCGAGTGGCCGCGTGTGTGCTTGTCCAGTGGCGCGACGTTAATGGTCGCACTTGTGCCTTGTCTATTTATTTTTGCAGTACGTTCATTACAAGAGGCCGGACAAGGACTCGTATGTACCACAGGTGAGGTCACACACACAAACACAGACACACACACATCACACACACACACACACACACACAGACACACACACACCACACACACACAGACACACACACACACCACACACACACACCACACACACACCACACACACACAGACCACACACACCACACACACACCACACACACACAGACACACACACCACCACCACACACACACACACACACACACCACACACACACAGACACACACACCACACACACACACACACAGACACACACACACACACAGACACACACACACCACACACCACACACACACACACACCACCACACAGACACACACACACCACACACACACACCACACACACCAGACACACACCACACCACACACACACCACACACACACAGACACACACACCACACACAACACACACACCACACACACACACAGACACACACCACACACACACACACCACACACACACCACACACCACACACACACAGACACACACACACCACACACCACACACACACACAGACACACACACACACACACACACACACACACACACACCACACACACACCACACACAGACACACACACCCACACACACCACACACACACAGACACACACACCACACACACACCCACACACACACACACACAGACACACACACACACCACACAGACACACCCACACACACACCCACACACCACACACACACAGACACACACAGACACACACCACACACACACAGACACACACACAGACACACACACACAGACACACACACACACACACCACACCACACACACACACAGACACACACACCACACACACAGACACAAGCCCAACAACTTGCACATCATCAATTCACTGCTGGATTGAAGGCTTCCGCAAGCTGTTGCCATCTCCCGCATATGATTTGTATATTAGACAAGCTTGTTAGCTTGTCTAATATGAGACGGAAGCTGTAATATTAAAGATGTAAATTAACGTTTTATTGTGCGATTGATAATTTTATTAGGAAATTTAGCACAAAGACATTTTTCTTAACTTATTTAAATAAATTAAGGACTTTGGACGATTGCTCGGTATACGAGATTATCACTTAAAAAGGTTTCCCTGCAGTTGGGCTATCCTTGATGAACACTTTGGTCCGCTGAGGATATTTAGATCTAGACAGAGACACGTACAACTGGCCCTGGGAGAAAATTGAGATAAATACCCAAATTTTCAAAAGTCTGACCCCCATATAACTTGTTGATCGTCATCACATACGCAGGAATTATCGTAATTTGTCGTCGTTTCAGTACGAAAGGAAGAGTGACATCGCTTGTGTCTGGGTCGAGTCTCGGGATGAAGACGATTTCACCTCGGTTGCAAAGACCAACAATATCTGTAGCTGGAAATGTGAAAAAACCCGTAATTTGGCACTTTTCAAATCACGGTCGTAAGCGCGCAAGCAAGCAAGCAGCAGTGAACTTAATATAAAGGATTTAAAATCCAGGAATACACGAATACTAATGAGGGGGGGTGCATGGAGTGACGTCACGCGCGGGACACACACAGCCTTTTTTGGCTTGTTCTATTCTCTCCAAGTTGCAGTTTATTGGCAATATCATTCCCAGACCCTGGGGGCATCAACAGCAAAGGCCCTTTCTTCAGTATTTGTACCCCAATAAGGAATGTGAAGCTGGTAAATGAGTGAGGACCTTAGGTCACATTTGTTCTTTGAAACAGTGAGGAGATCCAGCAGGTAGTCTGCTGATTTTGTTGTAAGTACATCGTGAATAAATGAGATCTGATGCACAAGCCGTCGATCATTCAGAGATGTTAAGTTTGACCCAATGTAGAGATCGCAGTGGTGGGTCCTATATGGGCAGTTCAATGCAAATCTTAAGGCCGAGTGATACATTGGGTCAAGCTCTTCAGTTCAGTACTTGGGGCTGATTCATATACGATGTCACAGTAATCAAGTAGAGGCAGTGTATGGTAGCTTTTATCAATTCCAAACGGAACATAGGGGGAAGCAGTGCTTGTGTCGATACCAAAACACAATTTTTTTACTTTGTATTTTTGCCAATAATAATCAATGTGATCTTGAAAATTCAGTTTTGAATCAAAGATGACCCCAAGATACTTATAGATCTTGACTTGCTCTTTGATTATTAAAGGAATGTAATTGGGGAATACTAGCTTCTGCTTTAGTCCTGGTGACAAGCATAGCACCTTGGTTTTGGAGGTATTCAGGACTAGTTTAAGAGCAACTGGCCGATGTTGTAGTTTGTTGTATTCACTTACCCACCTGCTCTCCATGTTAGAATGTAGACCTTCAGTTTCAGTTGAATTTATTAGGATTTAGCCTGTGAGCCATTCGGCTCTTGATTTGGGTTCAACCGCAACAAGCAATACAATTACAAGATACACCTAAAATTAATTGTACACAAATCTGAACATCACATACGTAGTAAACAATAAAATCCTACAGAAAAAGCACAACCCGTCCATGCTGCGTACAGAAAGTGCAAAAAATTATATTTCTATGTTTGATCCCAATAACAATCATAATATAATACAGATAAAAAAATTAAGTATAATATATACTAAATAAAAAAATCGGGCCAAACCAAGCTCCTCAAACACTTACTAAAACAATGCTATATAAACAACGTAACAGTTTTACCAACAAATGTGATTAAAATTACATTTTATTAGCGTCGTTCATGCTAATTGCATCTCACAACGCTGTATGTTGATTATATACGAGTGCCACATCCTATTATTTATAGTGGCTGCCGAGCAAATGAAAACTGTCAGAAAATAAATTGAATAAGCAAAGAAATGGCACTGAAACGATAGGCACACGCATCAAATAAATGAGTCCATTAAGTCGCATCCCATGCTCACCGCTTCTTAACCATCGTG